GCTCTCACTCTAGAGTTCCCTCGATTCCCTCCACCTGGGGGCTAACATTCTCGTATTAGAACCTAAAACAATAAACCAAGTTGGGGGCTTTAATCTGTCATTTTAAATTCCTCTAACTCTACACCCATCAATGAATATTTCCCTATTTATTTGCACTCAATCATATGAACTACATTCTAATTCATACAACCTCAAGTGATTCTTTCCAATTGTTGACTGAGACAATACCAGCCAACCTCTTACATGTTCTCACAACAAATTACAACATTTGGATTGGCCAAATCAAAAAGTAAATGAAGTGCATGAATTTAAATCATCAAAATTTCTTCCAACATTAAAGATCAATACTCTCCACAAATTTCGTCAAAAAACTTAATTACTTATCATTTTAAGAAGAAAGATAAAGAAAACTACTCAGAATCCACGGAGAAAATAAAACCACACTTTAGTTTAAAAGAAGAAATCATTGTCAAACCAACAAAAAAGTCTCAATTAAAATCAAAAGTAGTCTAAAACAAAAAGATAAAAACTTATCTTAAGTCATTCACCAAACTCTTGAAGTTTCTTTGAATCTCTTCTTTTTTACAATCACTCAAAACAAAAGGACAAAAAGGATAAAGTAAATAAAAAGTGGTTCCTGAAAATCTCTCTGAACTAACTCCCCAGAAAAAAACTTTCAAAACTTGCCAATATTTTCAGGACCATTTCTAGGTCCTCTCTTCTTTCTCTTATAGTTTTCCAAGAGGTGCCTTGGGATCTCTTCAAAATGTGTCTTAATTCAATGTATTTGCCCAAGAGATGCATCCTTTCATGATAATTTTCCTCAATGGTGGTTACAACCACCTATTAAACCAATGGGTGCCTGAAAAACTTCTTCGAAATTCATGAAAATTGATTTTACTTAACTAGTAACTGCCACTGGCACTTAAGCGCGGGGTCTCGGCGCTTAGGCGTGACCTTCTCTGTTTAACCGGCGCTTAAGCGCCAGATCGGGCGCTTATGCCCCAAAACTCTTTTGCACAATTTTTCACCTTTTTGTTCCAAATTTGATCATTTTTTACTACTTTAAGCATTTTTTGTATTTTTACTTGTATCTGCAAGAAAAACACAAAAATACATTTCATTAAAGCGCAATATCTCAAAAATAGATATAAATATGAGTCTAAAAACACTATATATTTTAGGTGTATCAGTTGCTTTGATCACCCCTTCAAAATCTGGCCAAATTCAATGGATATTCTAGAAGGAAAGTTACAGGCGCTATATCGCCCTTTGCCTGTGTCTGTGACGCTATAGCGCTAGGGGCGGTGCTATGGTGCCATACAAAATGCACCATTTTTGCTCATTTTCCCCCTTTTTTTTCAAATATCCATTCAATGTATCTGAAACAAAAAAACATACAAAAATATCTTCCTTTAAAGTGCAATATCACTAAAATTATACATAAAACAATAATAAAATATGCACTAAAAACATGTAATTTTCAGGTGGATCAACGACTCCACAGAGAACCTCTTCTCTCCCCATCATTGGTTGTTATATTTGTCTCATGCCTGGGCAATTTGCCTCTGCCACATACAGACCAGGTTCCCCTCTCTGTTGGTGTGCTTTGCCTATTTAACCCTTGGGCAAATCATAACTGACATCTCCTCGGTCACCTAGCTACAGGATCTTGAATTTCGAAGAAATAACAAAACAAAATGACAACAACCTGAAACAATACTTTCAACAAAATGAAATAATCAAACTCAACAAAATAAGAACAAAACAAAATACCCAGATAAATTTTATAAATAATAAATTCAATTTCCAGACCTTAATAATAATTCCAAGAAAAATTTACAACTAAGCCAATATCACTCACCCAACTCATTTTTTTAATAGTGGTGAATGATATATATTAGTATTTTTCAAAATAATTACAAAATAACCCAAAATGCTTTGACTAATTATTAATAATTAGGATAACGTTTCATTGAAATTTTATATATTATGGTTCAGGGTTTAGGTAATATAACACTCATATTTTCAACTCCACATAAAAATAACATTAATATTAATTTTTTTAAAAACAAAATATACATTTTATATCTATCTTGTTTTTTAACTATGATGCTAAAAAACTCGGTAAATAGCTATTCAATTTCACAGATAGAAAAATAAATTTATAAGAGTTATATATTATATATATAAATTCCCTCAATAATAATAATTATGAACATTTACATACATGCCACATACTATTTTATATATTTCTAGTTTAATACCTAAAATTTAATTTTATAATTATAATATAGAAAACTTTATCTCACATTAATAATAATATTATTATTAAATTAAAAAAAGTAAATAATTTTAATTTATAGATAAAAACATTATACATAAAAAATTAAAATTTATTTATTATGTATGTAAACATGTAATAAAAAAATAGAAATAAATATTATCTGGCATATGAAAATATGTATTTCACTTTTTAAAAAGAGATATTTTTATTATTATATGAACAAATTGAATAATATAAATATATAGAAAAATAGGAATAAATATGTACATACATAAAAATTAGGAAAAAAAATCACTAAATAAAAAAGTTATATATTTTAATATATGAGCCTCTTCCAAACACATGATATAATTTTATTGTAGTCCTTATACTACGTGAGTACATGATGAAGTAATATATTTTCTAAAAATTAGACCGTAAGCATGTGAATCTCCGAACGCCCGCCAACGATGACGCCAGCCCGGAGGCCCTGGCTCGACGATGGGGGCGACAGCACCCAGCACCTTGCGCGGACTTACCGTCTTCATTCATGAAAAAATGAAAAGAAGTTCTCTTGCCGTACGTGCCTAAGCCAATCCCCGAGGCTCATGTTCGTTACCTTGCTAGTTGTGATCGCGTTGCTTTGTTGCCAGTTTCAGATCCGGCTGTTCCTGTTCCAACCTTTCGGGCTGAGACCAGGGACTTGAGAAGCGCACAAAAGGAGTCTTCTTCGCAGAGATTTCGAGGGTTGTAGTTTATCGCTTCCATAATTTTGTGAGATCACCGAAACTCCCATCTTTCTCATACTTACCCTCTGCTCCTACCAGAAACCATTGGGTAAGGTAAGCCTGTCCGCGCCATCTAAATCCGCCAATTCACGCGATTTTCGGCGAATTAGCGTAGTATTTACAAAATCTCAGGATTTACGGAAGTGCATTTTGCCATTTGGCAGGATTTAGCCAAAGTCCTGCTTAATACCGGCTACCAAACATCCCCTTACGAAATGAAGAGGTACTGGCGATCCCGAATTTTTCTCTTCTTTCTGCGTCACCCCAAAAATCTGAAGTCTGAACGCTTCCTTATGAACAATGTGTTAATTGAAGCAGCTGGGGGAGGAGAGGAGCGAGGCAACCGAAGCAGCTTGGCGTTGGACTGAGGGGGATGGTGGGGCGGTTGTCTGTAGCGATGCTTGTTCTTTTCATATGCACCGTCTTGCTTTTCTCCAGGATCTGGCGTTCAAGTCCTTCCACTCGTGTGCAGGTTCTGTATCACTGCTTGATTTTTTCCCTTTTCCCTTTTCCTTTGAATTTTTGTACTGATTTGGTCCTTGAATTATATAATTGTATGTGCTTGTCAGAGAAATGTAAGGTCTTAATTATTGCAGATATCAAGATTATCCTTTTATATTTCGTCCTTTTTATTGGGCTGCTTTGATTCCAGAACAACTGTTTTATTGACTAGAAACAGATGGAGTGCTGTGTTCCTTAACAATCTTGAAGGCGTACTGTATCAAGTACTTTCACTGCCACATGAGCTACAATTCATTAGCTACTTTGATATGCAAATGGAACTGACGTTAATTGTTCAGGTTGAGCTCTAGTTTAGTGCTATTGGGATTTATGAACTACGTGAGTTTGCGGAAATCATAATCCCCTGCCATCTGATCAGATAAAAACCCTCATATTCTTAGAGAATATATTTTCTTTTGAATTTAAGTGGTAGATTTTTAGAAATAGTGTCGGATGATCCATTATTCCTCAGTAATTGATGCTTTGAACATTATGGAACACTTAATTATGCATAAAAATTGCCTTCTAATGGGCTCCTTAGTTAAAATTTCTCATCTCCTTGTGACTCCCTCAATTGAAGAAGAGAATGGATTTCAGGAGATTTTAGGATAGTTTCGATGCATCAAGCCTGCAAAGGATGGCCCTTGCTAGTGGAATAAACAAAATCTTACTTGTAAATCATTTTCCCTAAGCCAAAATTGTTGGTCATAATCAAGATAAAAATTCAAGAAAATATAAAATTTCTTTTCGTTCAAACAACTTATTAGGTACAATATTTTGAAATTTTTTCATGATATCTAGGTCATCCATTTTTATATATCATCCAAAAAATTATTAATAATACACGAATCTTGTGGTAAATAAAAAATAAATCGTGCATTATCCATCTGTTAATTTCAACAAACTTTTAATCCGACTAAACATCTAAACAAGACACATCTAATGACACACAGAATAGTCCAATCCAAGTTTAAATGATCCCAAATCAAGTAATTAAATCTAGCGACTCAATGAGAAGAATTCATTGAGTCTAAAATCACATAATTCTAAGGTCATTAGGATAATTAAATGATAAAATAATAACCAATAATTGAAGGAATTTTCATTAGTCGTTTGATAAAGTGTTTTGAGATTTTGACTAATTTATTAAAATAAATATTTCAAAACTTCATAAATAGGACCCTAGTTTCATTATTAAGGGGTGGAAATTAAGAGTTAAGTCCATACTCTTAGAGAAAACTTGGAGCCAATGACAACTAACAATCATCGTCGACCATCATTAGTAGTTGTTTTAGCCCAACTACTGTCCTATGATTGTCATAGTCTGATTATTATCTCCAAAATTTTTGCATGATCATTATTACTTTGTTAACGTTGTTGTTTATCAATTCTTGTTGTAACAATAGAATGACAAGCAAGTCTTAATAGTGGACTTCCTTAACTTTAAATATGTATTATTTTAGCTGGGCTAGGCCGTTTAATTATTTTCGTTCTTAGATTTCTTTACGTAAAAATTTTGTGTCCCCGATACCCTTATTCTGTTTGTATGTAGAATTTTCATGCAAAGCTATGATGTTAAATATTTACTCTATTGCCATAAATTTTTTGGCACAAGTCACATATTTATATTTTCATACTTGTTCAACACATATTTAAATTTTCATACTTGATCTACAACCACTTGACTACAAAATCCAATGATTTTTTCTTTTAAATTTCTATATTCTAAAAAAAATGGACAGGGCACCCATTTTTTTCTCAACCATAAGATATAAATATACAAGCTTTGCTAGAGCTCAGGTTGGTAGATGACTTGTAAGCCAAACTCAACGAGCTATGGAGTTAAAGTTTGAGTTAGGCTTGACTCAACTCAATAGTTTATGAGCTTGGTTGATTTCAAATTTTAATATAAATTACAATTAAATTATATGAGAATTTAAGTATTTAAGCACGAAGCTTTTAAAAATATTTAAAAATTCTATATTTTCTACTTAAATGTTTTCTTATTATTTCGTCAATTTCTCATTTTTTTAATAATTTTATTAAAATAATTCTTTGAACTGTAACCATCTTCTTTTTCGTAATGATGAGCAAACTTGAACTACTAAAATTAAGCTTGAGTTTGAGCTCAAACTTAATTTTTTAAGCAAGCTAAAAATTAAGCTCGAATGGCTTGAATTTGATTCGACTTGTTTACAACCCTGATATTGGCCTTAATTTCTAATTTATAAAAGGAGAGATATAAGTAAACTTGTATGCAACTTTGCTATTGCAACATTTGTGGTGTTGTGTGAACAACGTAATAGTATGTTTGATAAAGAATTTTTGAGGAAAATGGGACAAAAAAACTAAGAAGATACACGATGTATGCTCAAGCTATTGATGTTTAATCCTAAAAGCATAAAGGGGATATATTCTCTACATCTGCATTGCTAGTTATAAAAATCATTTACTTAAATAATCATTCTTTGATTATTATTTTTTTTTTAAAGATCCTTTTATACAAGGTCCCAAAGCATAGAACATCTAAAATATCTCATACAAATAAACTAGTGGCATAGATAAAAAAAATAAAGAAGGAACATTTTAATTCTCTAAGATGCTTTTTGATCACTTTTCGTGTTGGTTTTTTGTCTTTTTTTTTTCAAATCTGTTTGATTTATGTTTTTTTTTTGGTTGTTATTACTTTTTTCTTTTGAAATAAGTCAAGCTATTTTTTGGAAATTATTAAATAACTTTTAGGTATTTTGAATAAAAATCACCTCAGCCACTTCCTGCCGCCATTAGACATTACTGTCATTCATTGTCATTGCTGCCCGCGATCATTGCCTTAGACTATATTTAATAAAAAATAGCACATATATAATATACCAAACATGTTTTTCTTTCTTATTTAAACATGAATAAAACAAATTAAAAAAATAAAATCCAAAAAAATTTCCTAAGCATCCCTTTAATGTCTTAAAATGGACATTAGGTCCTCATTTGATTGATAACTTTTATCGTTAGCTTGGATGATAGAACAAAACAATAATTCATATATCCTCAATGTGATACATCATTTTGTTTCATTTATGTGTGTTTATGGAGTGAGTAGAGGATGGGGTTGTGGAGAATATTATATCCAATGTCATTGAATTCGTAAGTCCTCAAGCAACTACACATATGCTAATCATGCATACGAAATTTCATGTTCTCCTTGTGTAATTTTGATTTAAGCAGTCTTGTGTGCCTTGCTTCAATATTATAATGTCATGCGTGCTATATTTTACGATGCATTTGGTAAGGTATTGTTAGTTTCATTAAGCTTTCAGATTCGCAATGCAGGTAACCTTTTGATTTAGATTTAAACTCTACTATAAATTTGGAAAGATATATGATCAATCGTGTTATGCCTGTTTTGACTTGAATTAATTCAATGAGTAAATATATAATATTTTTTACAATCCTTACATACCACACAGTTTTATGTATTTAAGTTTCTAACACCTAATCTTTCTTGTCTACATACAACACCGAAAGCTTTAATATCACTTCAAAAATACCACTATGACTAACTTTAAAAAGGAAATAAACTTTTTCATGAATAGGTTATGCATTAAAATATTGTAAATGTAAATATCAAACTTAAGGTATTGGATATGTAAATACATAATATATATGTTATATGTTTGTAAATTTCCCAAAAAATTATTATTTTTTAAATCATTCAAGATAAATTTGATTTGAACATAAGCTGTAAACAAACAAACTAATTTGAATCCAGTCAAACACGAATTGCTATTCATGAACTATGTAAAACATGAATTGATTTCGAACAAACAAATTTTTGAAGGAAGACGAGTAAACACTGGGCTCGCGGCTAAACTTTTGTACTTGACTTATTTAAACCCTTAGCTCGCGGCTAAACTTTTGAACTATAAAGAATTCTTGTTTTATCGATTAATTTTATACATTCTCATTTTCTTAATGTGGTTGATGAACTAAACATACTTTGGTAAGTTGTTGTTTACCTTTTTTGCACTTATAGTAATTCTGGTTTGATTTTTGTGTCTTTATTTGAAGGATATTGATATTAATAAGCTTTGGAGCACTGCTTCTGCTGCTGGTTGGAGACCATCATCTGCTCCCCGGTCTTATTGGCCTTGTATGTAAATTTACTTGTGCTTTTGAGATTATAATTTTTTGAAATTACATTATTTACGTTTAAAGCCTCTTCTTAGTCCATGTTGCCAAAATAATAATATTTGTTTTATCTGGACTTTCATGTTATAGCCCCTCCAACTGAGAGCAATGGCTATTTGAGAGTTCGTTGTAATGGTGGTTTAAATCAGCAACGCACTGCGGTATGAGATTTTCTTAAATTTATTTATTCAATTCTAGATTGTGGCCATTAGTCAGGGTATGTAAATTTATTTATTCTTCCTTTTGAAATTAATTGCATATCATTGGCAGCATTAGTACATTGTGTGACCAATTTATTGAATTTCAGTTGTTACGAGAAACCACCCACCCTTTCTTTCTTATTTTTTTATGGTATTCTGTTGACGAATAAGTTTAGAAACCAATCGATATGGCATTATGGAGCCTAACTAATAATTGATTAATTGGCATCATTTAAATTTCATTTCATTCATATTATTCTGTCTTATTTAATATTATGAGTTTAATTTTTTGTTAATGGCATGATATGCCATAGGGGTTTCATAAGTTATATTACAGGGATAGCCCAGGTATTTTCAAAATATGGCATGCTGAGACTGACCGACTACAAACTGGCTACCTTTCAATGACTCAGTTTCTCTCTCATACTTTCTTATTGTCTTTTTATATAAGTGCGTAGGGAATATAACACCATAAAATTTATGGAAAATTTGATATTCTCGTAGTATGTGTCAAGGTTGATTTGAATGCGGTCAAATAATGCTATTTAAACTTGCACGAAAGTAAAAAGTATGCACCGTGCTGAGTTTGATTGAGTTTTATTTTGTTTCTTCCATTATTCAAATAAAATTTAAAGGATCAGATATATGGTCTAAATTAGAAGGCTGCTGGTATGCTTAAACTTAGGATGAAATTTTTTTATCATTTCTTAGCTCTAAACCTACAAATATGCTGAAAATACTTTTGTTTGCAAGTAGTACCGTATGATCTTCCATCCAAAGCAAGAGCTGCTTCGCATGCTCCAAGATAATTGTACTTGTTCAAGTTCTTTTTGGAGAATAAATTGGCACAACCCGGCCTAGAAATTTGAAATTTTAAAGAGGAGAACAGATTATTGGACAATGAAAGTAAATTTTTCAGTTATTAAGGTTTTGTTTGGAACAACTGCAGCTTATCTTGATAAGCTGTTGATCAACAACTGATCCGGATAAACTAACTGTTTGTTTAGTTTGTGTGTTTGGAAAATAATTGATTTGCAGCTGCTTCTGGATAAATGACAATTCTATCCCTCTGCATACATAATATTTTTGTGTATATGATAAGAAATATTTACAAAAAGTGCATCAAAGAAACAAAAAATTGAGCACCTAACACGTTATACAAAGGCATATACCAATGCCCAACCTTTATTAATGATGATCACAAAATAAAGCCAAACATCATTATTTCAATGATTTTGAGAAAATAAATAATATAAAACCTTAGGAATGCCTAAAAACAAACAAGTCATTTTTATAATTTGGATAGATTTAAATTAAACCGTACTAAAAAATAAGTAAAAACACCAAAAAAGCAGGATTTACGCGTACTGTATGATTTAACATTTTTAAAAATAAAAATATAAAAATAAAAATAAAACTATTTGTCAAGATTGAACAAACCTTTCTTTAATCCTGCTCAAAGCCTTGTGCAAAATAGCCTCTTAAATCTCGCCTGAAAACATGCAACAAACATTCCCTTGAAACAAGACGATGGAAGTGGGAAGGCTCAGATTCACCTTATTCCCATCATCATGCAGATCCATCTGCTTTCTCTGAACCGACGAAACACATCGATAACGGCTTCCCGTAGACGAGCGGGCAATCCAAGCTGCTCCAGCATCAAACAAGAGAAGCATGACGCTCTCTGAAGCACTCTCCAAAGCATTCCTAAACCGGATTAAAATCCTTCCGTGATGGATTTCATTTGCTCCAGATGTATTGCCTTCCCAGCTAGGGTTTCAGAGTCGAAAGGAGGATGAAAGGGAAGGTAGGTGATGGCTTCGGGCGATACCTGAAGAGGTGGAATTGAGGTAGGCGAGAGAGATCGAGCGAGGGAGGAGACAGACAACTTTGAAGGGCACAGAAGGAATAACCCGTCGAGACGTGAAATCAAGACGTGGGATGCGCAGTCGAATCCCTGACCCTGTCTATTAAAGAATCAAAAAAGTTGTTTCTCAATAAACTTCCCGAATTCACGAATTAAACGGCGCGACTGCGTTTTCAAAATGCCGCCTGCTCCTATAAGCTGCCCCAAATGGGCACTAGTACCAACCAATGAAAAATTATTATTCATCGTGTGTAATTTAAATCAAGTTAGAATGCCTTTGATTTACATTTTCTCTTCTATCATTCATTTTTATTTCAATGTTTAAATATGTATGATGAGCTATTAACAAGTCTGTAAATACTTGTACTTCTAAATTATAATAACATTCGAATAATTTTAATTTAAATCAGAATATTTTTAACCCAAAAAATGCCTCTAGATTTGTGTTGATTAATAAATTTTTTGATGGCGTATCAGTTACCTACTTAATTAATAGGCAATTTTGTTTGTTTGTTTGAAAATTATCAAAATATTAAAAATTAGATAAAAAATCCAAAAAAATTAAAAACATTTTTTTTTCTGGTGGCGGTGCCCTCTCTCTGACGACCGACAGTGGCAAAAGCAGGGGGGTAGCACCAGTGGAGGAGCGAGTGTTGCGGGTTATCGACTTGTTGTGGATCATCAGAGGGTCACAGGTCGACGAGCAGGACAGCTGACTTCAGGCGGGCTGGGTCAACTGTGTGGGACTAAAAGAAGGCGCAAATGGGTTGTGCCGCTAGATCGTGTGACACCCCTTGCTGCATAAAATCACGTTGATCGTGCGATCGAAACGGCGAGGGTCACGAGATTTAACATGGATCATGCCTTTCTTTTGTTCGATTGCGTGAAATCAGATGGCTTTTGTATGGGCTGCGGGTTGGTCCAGATTTGGGCTATTTTTGGGAGTTTCTTGGTTTTTTTGCCTATAAATGGGCCTAAAAGTAAGGGGAGAAGGCACAGTTTATCCTTAAAATGTCTTGAGTCCCTTGAACTACTATTGTGCCTCTTTCTGTGCTGGCGTCGAACACCTCGCAAAGTTCTTTTGGTCAATTTTTATACCTCCTTTATGCTAGTATAACTTTATCTTTGAAGTTTCTTTTGGCACTGCTCTTGCGCTTTATGGTGGGTATTTTTTGTGCTTCGATATGCTGATGTCCAGGGAATCTCATCTTCTTGAAAATCAAAGGAAATATCAGAATCCTTACGGAGGATGACTTGATATTATTTCAGAAGAAATTTTACTTAATGAATTACATGGTGGTGAAATTATTAACTTTGACTGATCTAGCCTTCGAGATATATTGACATTTATGAGGCAAGTTTGTAGGTTGTTCTGTAATTTCCACCGGTGACCTAGTTGATGGAAATTATGGAAGTTGTTGGAGTTTGCATTTCACAACTCTCTTGTCGGACGACGACAATAGTCATCTGACTTATAAGCTATTTTAGAAAACACGAGTCTATGGATTTGTTTCGGATACCTTTCTGATTGCTTTGCTTTTCAGTTTTGTTTGAGAAACTGTTTTCTTACTGCTTTTTAGAAATTTCTGTGGTAGAAAATTACTTTTTTTAAATCAAGACGTTAAAGTGTGGTGGTTACTAGAAAGCGGCGGTCTTTTTGAAAATAACATAAATTTGTAATGGTCATTGTAGTTTTTTGATAACCAGTTTCTTCTGGAGCAGTTTCACAACTGTTTCTTCAAACAACTGCAACTGCTCAAAACATACCCTAAGTTGATGTCAGATATCTTATCCTGATTGAGCTAGTTTATTAGTGCTGCACATGTTTGTGAATCATTATGGAGAAAAGTATTGGATCTTCGCACAAAGAAGACTATAACACTGGCTTGTATGATTTCTTCGCGCAAAATATTTGGGGATTTCGTGAGAAATATATCAAAACTACGACAACTATTGATCTCTCTCCAGATTAGTGAAGATGAAATACCATGGATGCTTGGATTTCAAGACCTTAGAGATATGCAATTCGAGGTACAATATATCAATAACTTTACAAGCGGAAATTTCTATTTAAAATCTCTATCCATCTTGGGTGCTTGACTGGTTTGAGGTTATTTGTTGAAATCTTACTCGACAACATTAACCTGTGTGGAAGAAGTTAAATAAAATCCATGAAGGATTTTTTGTCTATCCATGGTTGTTTGTTGGAGTGTTATTGGTGACGTTAACCTATATGAGGGCTCTTCATTACAACATTACTTGAAACGTTAACTTGTTTGAAAGAGATGTAATAAAATCTATCAAGGATGTTTGATCTATTTGACGTTGTCTGTTAGAACATTAGCCTGCATGGAAGACGTCGAAGAAAATCTACCAACGATTTTTGTTCTATCTAATGTTATTTGTCGGATTACTCTGCGACGCAACCTGTATGAAAGAGTTCGAATTGAAGTCTCCTGTGATCGATTATACTCTGATTGGGAAAGGTCGATTGCCGCATGGATCCTAAATCAAAAGGTGAAATTGGTCTGTATTTATATCGTTACTGCTCTTTTGAGGTCATGGGTACATCCTCATTGTGAGAGTGGAAGTTCAGCTAGGGACTGATGTAGTTGATAATTTCATTTTGAATGTGGATGACTTGTTCAATTGTGGTCATGTCTAAGATGCTTAGATGAGTGATCATTCAAAGTGGTAGTTAAAATTACCTCACGATCTAAAATTAGTTCTCATTGGTTTGATGTCTAAAGGCCGGAAGACTTGCCATTCAAAATTGTGTCCAATAGATTGACATGAACTGCTTTTTAGTTGTAGTGAAGGTTTCCCCCCTCATCTGAGTCAGTGCATGGGAACTTGAAGCTTGTGGGAAGGGGTGCTAAAGGATTATCTCGGTTAAGGATGAAGAACCTTGAAAATTATGGTGAGTTAAGAAATGATTGTTGACCTTAAGAGGAACTCTTCGTAGCTCATCACGGTTTATATTATGTGGAGTATCAGTAAGACAGGGTTGTGCCAAGTTCTTTCTAAGCATCGGGGCGAGAGAACACATGCTAGGATGTTAATGTACAAAAGTGACAATACTAAAAATAGATTGAAAGGGTCTTCCAAAGATAGGTAACATTATATGCCACCTTTGACTTGACAATAATGAATTGGATAGAGTTAGTCATCCTTTGAAAAATTTTTTTCATTATGATAAGAAGAGTAATTGCTCTTTGTGTGTTGATAGCCTTATCTGTAGTGATTGTGCTTTCACACTACGAATGAGGTCAGTGTAAGAGTGGATTATCTCCTGCATTAATGGTAAGTAGAAAAGTCCTATGCAGAGCCCTTAAAAAAAATGTCCCATTAGTAATTATGGATCCACCCTGAAATTTGACTTGCTTTAGTGGAAAATCTTCGAAAGTATTCTTTAAAAAGTTCTCTCATTTTGATGAATTCTTGAAAGATGAGATGCGTCTATAACGATCATTCGGTTTGCTATGAACTAGTCCAAAAAGATTCTAGTGAGTTCATTGAAGGTGTGGAGAGTCCCTTCCGGTAGAGAGTATAATCACGTGCAAGTCTGACCTTTGAGAGTGGCGGGAAACACTTAATAAAGAAGCGAATCGGAACCCTGCTGGATGTGCATGATGGCTCGGTAATAGTCAATTTGTTTGTAAGAGTTGGATACTCCATCATAGGAGAATATTCGAAAGCTTGAAGCTTGTTGGGATGGGGAGTTGAAGGACTATCTCGGTCAAGGGTAAAGACACTTGAAAAATGCGACGAGCGATGAAATGTTCCCTATCTCTTAGAGGGAAATTTTCATGGACCAAACGCCGCAGTTCATCGCGGATTGCATCATTGGGAGTGCCAGTATCGTGTGTCTGAGCCAAATTTTCCGTGAGCATCAGAAGGGTTACTGGACAATCTTGTTGCACGGGATGGATGTGTGGAACTCGGGTTATCGAAGTGATCGGCATATTGGCCTATCAGAGGAGGAATCCCATCATAATAGAGAGGAGGCTCAGTGCGAGTATACTCATGTGGGGATTCTCTATGGGCTGTTAACCTTATGATAAGTAGATCCCGCCTGTCTGTGTAGACATCGACTGCTGACCCTTTCATAGGAGTTGAATAATCTCGTGCTGAGACTCCTCCATTTTTCCCACCTGATCTTTCAAGGATGGGCTTGAGGCACCTTTGCCAGCAAGATAATGCCTTTCGTGAAGGGAAGAAGATGCATGGCGTCCATGGCTTCGTGATTGCCCCTTGGAGTGGTGGGCGTTGGTATGAGATGCTCCGTTGTTATTAGTATTGCATTTATTGGCCATTTTGCAAGTTTTATAATTGCTTTGATGATGCAATTGTCGTTCCCACAGATGACGTCAAACTTTTGCGTGCCTAAAAATCCATAGTGTAGTAATTTAGTATTTTAGCGTTGTATAAAAATCCATCACATAGATAAAAGGGAAGTATCAAGAGAATACACTATCATTTTCTATTTGAAAAAACCCTGAAAAGGGAAAAAACCACGGGGGTCTAGTCTAGTCAAAATAATCAACTGTTAGTTTTCAAGTACAAATATGAACACTTATCCCACAATTAAGAAAAGGTAAAATGTTTCTCCAAGTATAATGTCCATGCGCATAACAGTCGAGAGCAATTGTTACTGAGAGTTATCGGTAGAGATGCGAGGTACGCCGTTGGATGGTATTTATGACTCTGCGTTACTCCATAGGATGTTTGTTACTTTGCACATGCTTTGTTACTCAGCACGATGCTTCGTTACTCCGCACGGTGCTTTGTTACTCCGTAACATACGTCATTACTTCACATGATGTTTTGTTATTTTGTAACGTATGTTCTTACTCCGCAAAGTGCTTCACTGCAACATACGTCGTTACTTCGCTAGGTTCACTAAATGCGACAAGTAGGGGGTGGGCGACAACGGTCTACAGTGGGTGATGGGAGGTGGTCGAAGGTGGTATGCAACTTCACTAGGTCTTCGATCAAGAATAACTATGAAAAATGATTCCTTCTTCACCTCCTCCAGGTCAAAGTTTTGGTCTAACCCCCCTTTCATAAAGTGGGGCTCTATTTATAAATTTTGGTAGTGACATCCTCCTTAAATACTGTATGAATTTAGACCACTCTATCGAACGACCCAGAGTAATTTCCCTTACCTGATGATTTCTAGATATTCAAGTGCCTTACTAACATTGAAATTGAGTAATCCCAAGCTTGCTGTATTTGTCTCATCGAAACACTCAATTAGACTATAAGATTGTCAAATTTGGAGCCTATTTGAACTTCCAATTAACCAACCAAAACCTTAAAAAATAGCTTAACAACTTGATATGAGCTTGATTTGACTTAGATTATATCAGTTTTGGTGTCAATGGTTTCTTCTTGTCAAGCTGGTTAATTTGATTGTAAATTTATTAAAATCAGAGTTGTGGATGATTTTTAATTTAATTTAAAACATTTGTAACCGTAAAATTCCTCGAGATTCGTATCGAATGATAAATTTGCCAATGAATCATCTATTATATTTTATAATTAAAAATTATAAAATACCAAAATAATTTGAAGTATAATTTTGCTAAATAATTTTTAATATTTTATTCAAATAAATAAAAAAAATATGTTTATTATGTTTTAAAAAAATTTTAAAAAGTATAATTAAGTTGAATAAAATGTGAAGTAATTTTTATTTTAGGTATTATAGTGTATTATTTCTATCTTGATTATGTTTTTTGTAGAATTTAATAATAATAATACTACTACAACAACAACAACAAAGCCTTATCCCACTACGTGGGGTCGGCTACACGAATCTTTTTTCTCCATTGCGTCCTATTTAGTGTCATATTTTCATTTAGTTCTAATAAATTAAGAATTTAATAATACTAATAATCTAAAAAAATAATTTTAATAATTTAAATATAGTATTGATCTGTAAATTGTTTAAAAATATTACGTACTTTTTTCTTTGCTTTCAAGAATTGTGCAAGCGCACCCAGTTAGACATACGCTTGAACTAACACTTCTGCCCTTACACAAAGATTGTTGATTGGGAGTGGATTGTTTCTGTACGTGTGTGCTGAGAGAGAGGAGGAAGGCAGAACTGAAACGCATTCCATTGATGTAAGCGCTTAGGAGCACATACTGTATGATAGAGACAGAGAACGGACAACTCACCATTTGGAAGACACATTTTGGAAGGAAATTTGTACTGTACAAACATGTTAGATTGAAAATGCATTTCTTGTCTCTATATGAATTCTTTATTGATATATTTATATTTTAAGAGGCGTGCAGCCTTCAAGTTAAAAAGGGAAATATGTTTCTATGCATTCTATAGTTTAATCCTCCGACATTTTTTGAGCGAACAATTTATCATCTTTTCTTTTCTTTTTAGATATGCAATGCCGTTCTTGCAGCACGTATCATGAATGCTACACTTGTGTTACCGGAGTTGGATACCAATTCTTTTTGGCATGATGAAAGGTACTTCATTTCCAGTTTCTAGTCTATTTGCCTTGCTATAGATGTTTTGGCTTCCATTCCCTTTCAATTTTGTTATCTTTATTTCCTTAGATATACCTTGAAAGCACAAAAATCGTGTTTTCTAAACTAATGTATGGTGTTTTAGTCATATTACCCTTTGTGTCAACAATGTAATTTGTGAAAAATTATGGGAAATCATTGTCATTCTTTTTTATGTTGGGCAACATTTTTTTTAGTAACTAGTGATTTATTTAGCATTTTTTTTTTGTATTTTTGTTTGTAAATAATTGAGCTCAAATATTTGTGCTGAAAGTGAAAGTTACCATTAATGTATTTATTAGGAAGGCTTATTATCACATCCCTTGAAGAATCTTTTCTCGCAGTTTGTTTTGCATAATACCTGTCTGGACTTTCAGACATCATACTAATGTGAATTTATTATAAATAAATCCAGTGGTTTTCCAGGTATATATGATGTTGAACATTTCATTAATACTTTACGTTATGATGTTCGCATTGTTGGAGCGCTTCCTGAAATCAACTCTCATGGGAAGATCAAGAAGTTGAAAGCTTTTCAGGTTAACTTTAGTTGGTTCTGCGTTTTAAATTTTCATTCTAGGAGTAAATTATCAACAATAAATTTGTGTGAAAATTCAAAAATGTTGTTTAACATGCATTTAAACCTTTATTTTTTTAACACCCAGATTCGTCCACCGAGAGACGCTCCTTTGAAATGGTATACTACAGACGCTTTAAAAAAGATGAAGGAGCATGGTGCAATTTATCTTACTCCTTTTTCACATCGGCTGGCAGAAGAGATCGATAATCCTGAACTCCAGAGGTTAAGATGCAGAGTGAACTATCATGCACTAAGATTCAAGCCAGACATTATGAAATTGAGCCATGATATAGTTAATAAACTCCGAACGCAGGGGCATTTCATGTCAATACACCTCCGCTTTGAAATGGATATGCTTGCATTCGCAGGGTACCTTCTATTATGCTTAATTCTTATTTGTAGAATTTGTTACTATTTGTGGAAATTTTATCTCTATCCATGTGCTTTAAACATAACAAATGCTTTTTATCATGTGTATGAAGGACTGAAGTCTAGAATTTAAGTGCTAAAATAGTCCCCTGACTATTTACATGATTCCATTTTAGTCCAAGATTCTGTAAAGGTGCCAAATTAATCCTCATGCTTTTTAATATTGGGCTGAAACAGTGCTAGGGAGTACTATTTTAGCCTTCCTAAATGAGTCTTGGGACTAAGTTGTTGCTTTTATAGACTATGAGACTGAAATGATCCTGGACAAAGAGCCAAGGGACCATGTTGGCACTTTTCTCCTAGAAATTTAATTCATCAATGAGCCATCATATCATTAATATCCAAACACATTCTCTTTTGCACACTTGTTTTTTCTGCACATCCATTTTTGAACTCCTCCAAATCGAGTATGTAATGGACACGATGACCATGCGTCTGTCGATGAATGGCTTGAGTACAAGCACATGCATTTGCTTCTTGGCTGGTGGCTGTATTTTTGACTTCTAGCACTAATAAGCTGCAGCATCGGTGTCGCATTAGGGTTTCTGTAAAGCCTGTCTTAGCAAATTCTATATGGTATGCCTTTTTCTGCTGTAGCTGTTACATGTGCCGTGCCATAGAAAGAACTAGGATGGATGCATTATCAGAGGCTATTGGTCCAGTGAAAAACTGATGTAAGACAGTATTTGTATGTAAAGTAACTTTGATGCTTAGTTTAAATTTTTGATAAGTTACTCTATGTTTGCAACTACACTGAGTGTAACCAACTCTCAGAATAAAGTTGAAGTCAGAAATCACAAGCATAAATCAAGAAACCATGAACATTTAGGGAAAGTTGAGACCGCAAAACCACTGGCAGAGAAGAAGATTCACAATATCGAAAAGAATTTAATAGTATTAGAAGTTTTGGGTTTGGTGGTTCAAATTACACATGTGATATCGGAGTTAACCCAAACCACCATAGAAATACAAGTATTATTTTTGAAATTAAAAAAATGTTACAAACAAAACACTTTAAAATAGTGCAACCATGACACAACATGAACTAGGTATAAGTTGAGGTGGTGCTACGATGCAAGGAATTGGAAGGGGTGCTGGCTTGGTTGTGGAGGGTGGGCAGAAATACGGGCTGGCTGAAGGTTGAGGGAGGCTGGCCTGGTTGTGGAGGGGAAAGAAGGGATTGGCTGGCTAATTGGCCTGGTTGTGGGTGGCAACGAGAGGAAGGATTGCAGCTGGTAGGTGCGCCTGGCCAGAAGGTGGCAACACTGGATGGGCTTAGAGGGTTTGAAGGCACAACAATAAGGTGGAAAAGGGTATTGTGGTGGTTGTCCAACAGGTTGGAGGGGTTGGCAGCTGGTAAACCGAGAAGGGGAAGATTGTAGGAAAGATGTAGCAAGCAGGAAGAGGAAGTTAAAAATCATCTTGGACAAGTTACAATCAGAGCACATTATCGTCGTCAAATACAACCTTAGAAGGGAAAAGCGGGGACGATAGAGGCTATCCAAACCAAGATCTCAACAAAAATTAAATCCTAATGACAATAACATATATATAGTAGTAGATAAATAGGAAGGGGAAGAGCCCCGCACTTTGGTGGCAACCCTTTGGTGGCAACCCTAGCTAAACAAAGGGCTGGCTTGCCCCTTGTGTTTCCCTTGCTGAATCGATTCAACCTTAGGTGAGCCCCGCATTAGTCTCATGGGGTTAGGGAAGCTTCACATCATTCTTCGAAGCTTCTGTCGACACGTTGACGATGACGGAGTGACTATTATTTCCCTGGGTTGAATGATCTTCCACCGCGGCCCTAATAACGCCCAAACCCCACCGACTTCACTGTGTCCCAAAGCACTCGAGGATTTCCCTCCACTTGTGAGCAAACTTCCATCTTGGTCCCATCGTCTGGAGATACACATCACACATATTATGCAAAATCTTCCCAAAATAGTCCAAGGTTTGCTCACCTTGATTTGAAATGAGGGTAGCCTGAACCTCCCCGAGTGGGAGTGGTGGTGGTCATGGTGGTATCGATTGTGATGTTCTTAAATGCTCTGTTGTGACTATCTCGTGTTTGGAGCTGCCGTCACAATTCTATCATTCTCTGTCGTCACCAAAGTTGGCCGCACTGATGTTGTTCTAGAGAGTAGGACACTTATGATCTCGGGCTCTATCAAAGAGGGAAGGATGATGCGCTTCCCATCCTTGGTGAACATCACAATCGATTGTGATGCACTTATGATCTCGGGCTCTATCAAAGAGGGAAGGATGATGCGCTTCCCATCCTTGGTGAAAGAGTATGTGATTTTGAGTCCGTCGTGCTAAGTCTTATTGTCAAATTTCCACAGTCGCCCCAACTGTGGGAACCACAGTTGACAGGCATTCATGGATACCACGTCATACCACACCTGATCCTGCAGCTCTCCCAATCGAGAACTCCACTAAGCACCTCTGGTCAATGTTGACCCCATTCTCTTTCTTCAACCACATCAAAGAATCTAGCTGTGAGTGCCTTTGAGTCATGAGACCCAACTTCTCCGCCATTTGTGTAGACACCACGTTTTTATTGCTCTCTCCATCAATGATGAGACCGCATACCTTCCTGTCCACGATGCAACGAATGTAGAATATGTTGTGACAAAACCATTTTGATTCCCTTGTATCCTTGGTCTGTAGGATTTATTGAACCATGAGCTCTCTTCATCTTATGGAAGAAAATGCACCCCTTATCTGTCTTCTCGTTGCTAACCTCCTCCACACTATCCTGCTTGGTAAAAGACACAACTCAACTCATCAAGCAGCTAGAGACGATGTGTTCAAATTCGTGGCATCTGAAGCATTTTATGGCGGGGATTGTAGTTGACATGCTACTCTTCTTAAGCTTCTCACTGTGGGTAGCTCTGTTCTTTTCTGAACCAATTTTCTCAACTCCTTGAGGCGTGCTCTTGCTTATGCCTCCAACTGTGTGTGGCTACCTGAATGGTGGTGGTTGCCTACTCTGTTTTTGCTGCCTCTCCACTTTTAAGGCTAAGGTCTGGACATCTTCAAGTGACCAATAGTGTTTTTGTTGTACCACATTACTAATAATGGGCTTCAACCTATGGTGTGTTCCTCTGGCCTGACCAAATCACACTTCATCTGCAACTGATCAAACTGTGTCGTGAACTACACCACTGATAGGTCTCTTTGTTACAGGTGGTGAAATTTTAGAAACATATCTTAACGATAGTGAGGAGGTAGGTATTTTCTCTGCATCACCTTTCTCATCTTCCCTGACATGTTAATCTTATCATTAGCTTCTCTTTTGCTCTTCCTCAAGAAGTTGCCCACCACAAGGATGTGCTCTTTCTCAACTTGATAGTTGCAAGCTTTACCCTTTTATTTTGTAGAAGATCCTCTCAACGGATTGTAGTCATTTAATAAAATCATCTGAATCCATACCTCAATCGAACTTTGGTAAATCCACCTTTATTTTGAATTCTTTGTCCTCCATACGTGGGATCTTCATTTAGTTTCATCTGATACTAGATTCCAATGCATTGTGATCGTTCTTCTTCATCTTTGAAATCCTCCCATGGGAGGGCTCATCTCTTCTATTTCCTTGACTTTCCCTGTCACCATTGAGGGTAAGTCCAACCCCCCCCCCCCCCTCCTCGGTTTTCATTCTCAATGTTCCCAAGCCTTCGTTGAAGTCGAAGGATCTCTCATTGTATCTCTTACCAGGTAGGATCGGGCATGTATCTCCTTGGGTACATGGCTAGGATTTAAAGTTGGGAGGTGAAAGGGTGTAAAAAATTGATTCAGGGTTGCTGATTATGAAAATCAGCAAGGGGAATTTAGGGTTCGGTCAAAGTATGGCTATTATTTAGAAATATGAAAGAAAATTTTTTGTGGAGGGGTAAGGCGAATGCTAGGAAGCCTTATGATAAGATTAGGGTTATGCTAACTCTAATACCAAATGTTACCGAAATTGACGCAAATCACCATAGAATGTAAATATTATTTCTGAAATTCAAAAAGGTTACAAACAAAACACTTGAAAATAGGGAAAACCACAACATGACACAAACTAGGGTATAACTTGAGGCAGAGGGAGGCTGGCCTGGTTCTGGGTGGCAAAAGGAAAAAGGATTGCATGTGATAGATGCGGGTCTGATGGGAAAGGGGAGCAGAGTGGCTGGCTAGAAGGGCGGCAACACTGGACGGACATAGAGGGTTTAATGGCACAGTAAGGTGGAAAGGGGATTGTGGTGGCTGCCCGACGGGTTAGGGGTTGGAGGATGGGAAACTAGGAAGGGGAGGGATGCAGGAAAGATGTCAGCAGAGAGGAACGGGAAGATAAACACAATCTCGGAGGAGTTACAGCTGAAGCATCTTCTCGCCATCGGATACATTCTTAGAATGGAAAAGGAAGGACACCTGAGGCTGTCCAAACTGAAATCTCAACAAAAACTGAAACCTAATAACAGTAACATAACATATATTTAGTAGTAGAACAAAATGATGTCCGGCCCTCTGTGGCTCCTCTGTTGAACCGGTTCAGAAGTCGGTTCAGTCCCAAGGAGCCCCGTGGCAATATGTGAGTGGAAAATTAATACCATGAGGTTTCCCATAAGTTAAATTGCACCATGTGGCACTGCAAACTTTTCGATCCAAGATCAACAGAGCAAGGGTCACAAACTCTAACATCAATCATCATGCAGCCATAACAGTTACTGGCAGCATTGCTGTAGTGGCCTTTTTCAAGAACATAGTGCAACTGTTACCATTATACCTGTCAATGTGAGCATCATGGTTTGTGGGTATTATGCTGAACATTTTTGATTGGGTGGCTGACCAGAAGGGTGTCTTTTTAACTTGAGGTTGAAGTTATTTGTATTCATTTCTTTTGCCCTTGTAAAATAAAACAAGAATAAAGTATAAACGTCTTAAAGTTAGTGCATGTG